CTCAGCGTCATATCCAGAGGTTGTGTTTGGGAAATAGACGTATGAGTGCTGCCAGCATTGCTGCAGAGGTTGAAGGGGTGGGGGGTCAGCCTGTCAGTGCTCAGAACATACACCGCACACTGCATCAAATTGGTCTGCATGGCTGTCGTCCCAGAAGGAAGCCTCTTCTAAAGATGATGCACAAGAAAGCTCGCAGACTAAGGACATGGATTACTGGAATTATGTCCTGTGGTCTGTTGAGACCAAGATAAACTTATTTGGTTCAGATGATGTCAAGCGTGTATAGCGGCAACCAGGTGAGGAGTACAAACACAAGTGTGTCTTGCCTACAGTCAAGCATGGTGGTGGGAGTGTCATGGTCTGGGGCTGCATGAGTGCTACTGGCACTGGGGAGCTACAGTTCATTGAGGGAACCATGAATGCCAACATGTACTGTGAGATACTGAAGCAGAGCATGATCCCCTCCCTTCGGAGACTGGGCCACAGGGCAGTATTCCAACATGATAACGACCCCAAACACACCTCCAAGACGACCACTGCCTTGCTAAAGAAGCTGAGGGTAAAGGTGATGGATTGGCCAAGCATGTCTCCAGACCTAAACCCTATTGAGAATCTCAAGGTCTCTAACATACCAGCTCCGTCATGGAGGAGTGGAAGAGGACTCCAGTGGCAACCTGTGAAGCTCTGGTGAACTCCATGCCCAAGAGGGTTAAGGCAGTGCTGGAAAATAATGGTGGCCACACAAAATATTGACACTTTGGGCCCAATTTGGACATTTTCACTTTTGTGGCTAGCGGTTTAGACATTAATGGCTGTGTGTTGAGATATTTTGAGGGGACAGCAAATGTACACTGTTATACAAGCTGTACACTCACTACTTTACATTGTAGCAAAGTGTAATTTCTTCAGTGTTGTCACATGAAAAGATATAATAAAATATTTACAAAAATGTGAGGGGTGTACTCACTTCTGTGAGATACTGTATGTGCAGACTTTACCATGGTATACTCCTCTACATACAGTATCACATGGCATAATGTAATGTAAAATGCTGTATTTGATCCCATCTGTCTCCCTTCTTCTGATACATCTCTGATCAGTTCCTCTCCCTTGTATCCTGCAGTATGTTCACAAATTGCAAAACAGTTTTACAAATGAGGACGTAATTAAAGAGAGGTTTTGGGTGATTTTGTCTGGTTTTTACTCACTTCTGGGTGCCAATTTGTCCCCAAAATATGTATGCATGCACGCACAGCAAGCAAAGGAAATCTATAGGCTGTTATTAATTCTATTTAGACAACAGAAAATTAGACCACTGTTTAATTTTTATTTATTTATTTTTCAGACAAATAGGATGAGGTTTTTATTTCTGTCATGTTCACATCATGTAAAATGCTTTTTGTGCAAAAATAAAAATTTACATCCAAAAGTGCAATCAAGGACTAGAAGTAGAAATTAGCAGCCATGGTCCTGCTCCTCTTGAGGACTCCAGTGAGAGGCTGCACAGGAGCTGCAGCTATATCTTCCAGCTTCCAGAGTCTATGTCGCGTGTTACAACTCTTCTGAACTTCCCTTTTTCAGGGACTACTTCCTCTTTATCACTGTTGGGATGAAACCATCTGTAGTATATAATTTGCACTAGTATTCCAATGACGTACAAACCTAGTAGTGTCGGGATCACTATGTGAGGATTTAAGGAGCTCCAGCAGCCTGCATACTCAAACACCTTCCAGCACCAGAAGCCCAGCAGCATCATTGTGTCCAAAGACATGAAACTATAATAGAGAATTGACTTCAATTTTATGCTTTTTTCTGTTATGTTAAACCAACTGAAGTGCCAAATGAGTCCAATGGCAGATCTGTAGAGCCATTCCCAACCAGAATGTTCCATGTAATTTGTTTTCTGGCTCCAGGCCACCAAAACCAGTAGCATCCACAGGGACAGGAAGTGAGCTATGATGTAGCATGGCAATACACTGCAGAAGAGTGCCAGAGCAGTTACACGGGGAATGATCAGCAACCCTTGGTGCGGCCACCAAAGCATACGAATAGCTGATCCGATCTCCTGAACGGGGCGGAACACTCAGCATAGACTTTCAAGGCCCTGACGGGACAGAGTAAGTTCAACTCTTGGTCTTGCTCCGAAGTACGAAGCGCTGATAGAGTTATTATCGGTGCTCTAAATGGAGTAGAGAGCACTTTAGGTACATAACCATGCCTTGGTTTCAGGGCGACCTTAGAGTCCTTGGGCCCAAATTCGAGGCAGGTGGGGCTCACTGATAGCGCCTGCAGATCTCCCATACACTTTACCGATGCTAATGCTAGAAGCAGAGCA